TAAAAAAAAAAAAAAAAAAAAAAAAAAAGACATGAAAAGCTAGGGATGTAGCTTAGTACAAAGTCCCTGGGTTCAGTCCCACCTAGTGTGTGGGGGACAGAGACGTTGCCCAAGACTCTGTCCAGAGCCCCAGGGAAGGGAGAGAGAGGCAGCAGACAAGCTGTGACTGGCGGGGCAGAGCATCCTGACAGCACACCTTGGACTCTGTGGCTCCATCTTTGGGTGAGGAGCAGGAAGACAGGGTGGGCACCCACAGCCCAGCACAGCTGACAGGCTGGCTGCTTTCAGGACTGAGAACATTTGCACCAGTTTTACAGAGCTGGCACTTGCAGCTGGGAGAGGCACCGGGGACTTGGCTCCCCGCGGAGGACTGGGTTCTGGTCACCCCATCTGGGTAGTTCTGATGTCACAGCTGTTTAGAGCAGGTTACCTGCAATGTAAGGTGCTCCCCAAAAATGACAGCTTGGATTGTATTTACCCAGTATTTTGTACAGATTAAAAGGATGAGATGCTTCTTGGCTTTTTTTCTTTGAGACAGGGTCTTACTTTGTAGTTCAGGTGGGCTTTGAACTTAACTGTGTTGCCCAGGCTGACTTTAAATTTGTAGTGATCCTCTTGCCTCTCAGCCTTCTGGATGCTGAGATTATAGACATGTGCTTTCATGCCTGGCAACTTAACCAGTTCTTTATTATTTAATTGATTGAATAGACTTAATACAAATCTTTGCACATCTCTGCAACATTTTTTTTTTTTTTAGTACCACGGATTGAACGAGGCAGGCGGCAGCACCACTGAGCTCAATCCCTGGCCCCCTTGCAACCATTTTTATAGCATAGTTGTATAGAAATGGAATTGCTGGGTCAAAGTGTACATTCATTGATATTTTTGATGGACAGCACCAAATTGTCCTCAAAGAATCTTTTTTGTTTGTTTGTTTGTAGACAAGAGTCTTGCTATGTAATTCAGGCTGTCTTTGAACTATGTAGTCCAGGTTGTCCTCAAATTCATGGTGATCCTCCTGCCTCAGCCTCCTAAGTGCTGGGAGTACAGGCGTGCGCCACCATGCCTGGCCTCTTAACAATCTTGTATCCGTTTCCATGGCAGTTTCTTCTCATGTCATCCTCTTTTCCCTGCAGGATGAATCAGGCGCCAACCGTGGGCTTTGAGCAAGATGTGGGCAGCCGGACTACCCACCATTTCATGTACCCCGAGAGTGCCAAGAATCTGCCCGCCAATGTCAGCTTTGTGTTGGTGCCCTTCAAGGCCCTGGACCTGCTGTGGATTGCTAGCGCCCTGTCCACCGGGCAGATCCGATTGTAAGTCCCTGCTGGCTGGGAGTGGAGCACGGGGACAGGGGCGCTGGGGGACTGGAGAGAGGGCACAGCTGTTCTGCGCCACTGCCTGCATGGTGCCATCTGAGGACGAGGGTGAAACGGCAAGGAAGGAGCAGTGTGTTATGTTCTCTCCAGGAGGGGCTCCCGACTCTGTGTCCTGAGAACTTTCTCCCTTCAGGTGTCCTAGCACAGTGGGAATCCTGGGAAATCCAGTTCACTGCTTTTATTTTACCTCATTTCCATTGACTGCCTTATTGATTGATTGAGACCATCTTGCTATGGAGTCCAAGATGGCCTTGAACTCATTGTGTACCCAGGCTGGCCTCACACTTGTAACAGTCCTCCTGTCTCCACCTCTCAAATCCTGGGATTACAGGCACACATGCACCCAGAACCAAGTATTTTCTTTTCAAGAGCTTTATCAAGATACCTACTATAAAATGACTTCTCACAAAAAGCTCTCAAAAAATCTTTTCTTAGCCAAGCAATTCTCTAATTTCAAGGACTTAATGCTAAAAATTGTTTTTTCCTCTTCTCTATGTAAGGAGGTTTTAAAAGCTGAACCAGTGGGCATGATACAGGAAAGGAAAAAAAAAAAAAAGATACCTACCATAGGGCTGGGGATTTAGCTCGCTGCTGCTGCTGCCTGCCTCAAAAGTGCAAGGTCCTGAGTTCCATCCCCGGTACCAAAAAAACAAAACCAAACCTACTATAGCCAGCGTGGGCTATAGTAGTGAGACCTTCCACGTCTCAAAACCAAAACAAGATACCTGCAGTACAACTCACCTCTGAAAGTGTACAGTCCAGTGACTACTACATTCCTAGAACGGTGTGACCATCACAGTTAACTTTAGAACATTTTTATATTCTGAGGATTTTCAAGCCGAGGGTGTGATCAGTGCCGAGGGATACAGGAGTCTCTGTAATGTTCTCTTTCTCTCTCCCTGTAGCACCTATGCGCCAGTGAAGTCCTTCCTTCGAGTGGACAAAGAGAAGGTCAGCTCCGCCCTTCTGCCCTCCTTCGCTGCCTGTCCTTTGGAAGTGCTGGCCTTACCCATGGTGTGCCTGGTCTTGAGGCCTCGGGATACCCCACTGCCCCTCCAGAACCTTCAGGGTTCCCTCTGCTGCTATGGCTGATCCAGCAGAGGCCACAGGACCAAGGGATGCTCACACCTGGCCCCTAACCAGGGCAGGAGGCACTGGGAGAAGCTGCTCGAGCCTGGCCTCCAGCCCTCATGTGCCTGTTATCGCTTTCTCCTCCCAGGTCCAGATCTACAACCCCGCCTTCTTCAAGTACATCCACGACAGGTGGACGGAGCACCACGGGCGGTACCCTTCCACGGGGATGCTGGTGCTCTTCTTTGCCCTGCATGTGTGTGATGAGGTGGGTGGGCCCCCGTCTGCAGTGGAAATGGCAGGACCCAGGCAACAGAGGGAAGTGAAGCTGCCCTTCTTGGGTCTCAGCAGAAGAATGCAGGATTTTTGTAGGCAAAAACCAGCTCTCCTCCATTTCTAAATTGTAAAGTATAGATTTGTACTTCTCAAACTATTACTTTCATGGTTTTACTAAATCTGAAATCACTTCATTAATAAGGTAAATTTAAGCCGGGTGTGGTAGCACACGCCTGTAATCCCAGCACTCAGGAGGCTGAGGCAGGAGTAGAGACCAGCCTGGGCTACATAGTGAGTTCCAGGTCAGTCTCAACTACATAGTGACATCCTGTCTCAAAAAACCACACAACAACAACAAAAAAAGATGAATTTAGCTGGGCATGGTTAACGCAGCACAATAATCCTGCACCCACTAGGGAGGCTGGAGGATGAGGGCAGGAGGATCACAGCAAGTTCAAGACAGTTTTTTTCAAGGCCACCCTGAACTACATAGCAAGACCCTGTTTCCAAAATCCAAAATAAATAAAAAGATCAACTTACAACTAGGTGTGGTGGCACCTGTAGTCCCAGCTCCTGGAAAGAATGAAGCAGGATGATGATCCCTGGAACCCAGGAGTTCAGGGCTGGCCTGGGTAATACAATGAAACCTTATCTCTTAAAAAAAAAAAAATTAAATTTATGGACAGGTGTTTTGGCCCACACCTGTAATTCTAGCACTTGGGGATGCTGAGGCAGGAGGATGGCTCCAAGTTTGAGGCCAGCCCGAGCTACATAGCAAGACCCTGTCTCAGAATAAATAAATACATACATTTATTGAAAAATGAAACAATACTACTACCGTAATTGATACTATTCCCCCAAAGAAAAAGTAATCATAAATAGGGTAGCAGCTGAGTAGTGATTTGAGCTGGTTGTGTTTGCCACAACCCTTAGCCTTAGGCTTATTCTTTTATTTTTTTATTTTGGTTTTTGAGACAGGGTCTCCCTATGTAGTTCAGGCTGGCCTAGAACTCACTATGGAGCCTAGGCTCCTGCCTCAGCCTCCAGAGTGCTGGAGTTACAGGTGTGTGCTGCCACGCCCTACTGCCCCGAGTATATTTTGTGTTAAAAATCCAGGTTGTGGGGGGATTTAGCTCAGCAGCAGGACACCTGCCTCGCTAGCGCAAGGTCCTGAGTTCAATCCCCAGTGGTACCCCCCCACCCCGTGCAGGTTAGTCATTACAAGAAGCACGTTTCACTAGTGGCCAGGGCTCCTGTGGCATGGGGCTAGCGCTCATGCTTGGCAAACCCACTGACCAGCTTTCAAATACTAAAAGTACTCCTTTTCAAAACAAGTTATAGAACTGGGCACGGTGGTGCAGTCGTCATTCCACCTACTGGGCGGCTGAGGCAGGAGGATCCCAGCTGGAGGCCAGCCTGGACAGCGTGTATAATAAGGTCCTGCCTCAAAGCAACGAAAGGAGGAAGTTGGCAAGGGCTGGCGAGGAAGGGGGGCCCCTCCGCCCTGGGCACGGACGAGGCGCCGGGCTCCCGGCTGGTTATCTGCGCGTGGTGACCCTGCCGCCCTTCCCCTCAGGTGAACGTGTACGGCTTCGGAGCCGATAGCCGCGGCAACTGGCACCACTACTGGGAGAATAACAGGTATGCGGGCGAGTTCCGGAAGACGGGCGTGCACGACGCAGACTTCGAGGCCCACATCATCGACATGTTGGCCAAGGCCAGCAAGATCGAGGTCTACCGAGGTAACTGAGCTGGGTTCTCTGCGACCCTTCCAGCCCAGCAGCGCTGCTTAGGGAACAGGTCCGGCCCTGGGCGTCGCCAGGCAATCAGGAACCCTCCGGCGCGGCCTGGGCCAATCACGCTGCAATCCAGGGAACGCCTGCTCTCCGTCAATCAAGTCTGAGGGCCGGCTAGGTCCTGGCACCAATCAACGCTTCAGTCGGGCGGAGCTTGTTTTTCCTAGCCAATCATGCGACTCAAGGAGAACTTCCTGCTCTGGACCCGCCTCTTCCAATCAATGGCCTTGGGAGGCGGGCCAGCGGCCGGTCTATCCCCGTCCCTTCTGCTTTTGATAGTTTTGTTTTCGCTTTTTTAAAATGTAGAGGCTGCTTGGGCCTCGATTGAGAACTTTTCTCAGGCTCGAGAAGCGGAGTGTCTTGGCCGCTGGCCAGCTGGTTCCACCCGGGGGAAGGAGGGGACGGGGTGGTGGCGGGCCGGGGAGCCGATGTCCCTAGAGCCGGGAGCGGCGGCGGCTGCTCTTCCCGCGTCCTCCGGCCGGCTGGGCGAGTGCAGAGCCACCAACGAGCGCGGCCTCCACCGGGCGTTTCTGCCGTGGGGCGACCTGGCCGGCGCCCACCTCTGTAACGGGTGTCAGGAACGGGGCGGGGGAGCCGGAAGCCTGTCGGTGACCCGTTAGGTGCTGCTCACGCGTGCCCTGTCCCCAACACCTTAGGCCGAGGCCCCTCACGGTCCTACTTGTTGCTCTGGGAAAACAATCAGAAAGCTGCCTAGGTTTGGGGCCCTGCTTCTCTGCCTGCCCCCCTCCCTCTCTCACACTGTCACACACACACGCGCGCGCGTCGGGCTGGCCCTAGGGAGAGCTGCACGCTGGAAAGGAGGCCGGAGTAGAGCGCAGCTGGCCGTGCATGCACCTTCTTCCTTCACCCGTCACCCCAGGGTGCGATTTGCTTTGGGCTCTTTCTCTGGTTCCCCGCTCCGGCGCTGCCTTATAGACAGTGCCCCTCCCGCCTCCCAGCCCAGTTTCCAGTCTGTAAGGATGGGAGGCGAACACCAGGGGTTCTGACTGAAAGTCAGCCTAAGGCCTCAGAGCTGCTGCTGATGTCCTCACCTTCAAGGTTGTGAAATGTAGTCGGAAAGGGCTTCCGTGAAGCTCCCAAATCAGGGAAAGGAGCCTCCTTCCTTCCTGGCAGTGTCCTTTTCAGAGGTGGGGACAGTCACCCATGGGACAGCTAGGGGAGCAGTGGGCAGGGCGTGGGCGCCCCTTAGCAGTCGTTAAGGAAAACTTGGTTTGCATCTTTGCCTTCCCAGTCTCCGAAGCGTGCTGGTTCCCCGCAGGTCCTTTCTCAGGTCCCGCCAGCCCTTCTTGCCATTCTCATCTCAGTGCTTCCACAAGAGGCTGTTTTGAGTGTTGAGAAGATGATAAACAATGCAATTATGCCAAACAGTATTGAGCAGAATAATTTATTTCTTTTTTGTTTCTTTCTCTTTTGTTTAAACCATTAATCCCCATCCTGGAAGAGGTAGGTCCCAGCACTCAGCCCAGATCACCTTTTCTGCAATAGTTATTTAAACATTTTTTATTCTTTCCCCTTTCTTTCGGAATTAAAAAAAATGAGAAACAAAAAACCTAGAGCTGTTTGTTGTGAAATGTGTCCAATCACCAAAGGTGTAGCTGAGAATCCCAGCTGCTGTGACCTGTAATGGCTAAAATGCTAGAGGGGTCGGGAGGGGAGCAGAACAACTCCCAGATACTTTCCTCTTAAAACTGACAAGCCTGGCTTCCTGAACTGCACTCTGAAGTGCCCCACACACCAAATCTCCTGGACTGTGAGGATTTGGGTTAAAAATCAACTCATTGGCTGGGTATGGTTGCACACACCTGCAACCCCAGCATTCTGGAAGGCTGAGACAGGAACATTTCAAGTTCCAGGCCAGCCTGAGCAATGTGGTAGCTTAGTGAGACCCTGTCTCAAAAAAAAAAAAAGTGAGGGCCGGGGATTTAGCTGAGTGGTTCCACCTGCTGCCTTGCAAGCGCAAGGACCCAAGTTCCATCACCAGTACAAAAAAAAAAAAGTGAATTTAGAAAACATTCACTGAAGTAAATGCCAAATAGATCACAGAACTGAATGTAAAAAGAAAACAACCTAAAAACAGTACCTTTTTATATTTATATATATTTTCCCCCCATACAGCTTTGTAGTTTGTTTCTAGGGTTGTTTTGCTTTTGAGATAGGGTCTTGCTATGTATTCCAGGCTGGCTGTGGTCTTCCAATAACCTATACCCAGTCTAATCTTGAGAAAAACACTGAACAAATTCCAGTAGTGAATCATCCTAGAAAATCCCTGTCAATATACCACAAAACTTCAGGGTTATATCAGTGGCAAATGTGCTAAGCTGTCACGGCCAAGAAGAGGCAGCTGGGCAGCATAATGACTTAGCAAGAGCCTATTTCAAAATAAAAAATAATTTAAAAATTTGAAGTGCTGGAGATATAGTTCAGTATGAAAGCCCTGGGTTCAATCCCTAGTACCACAAAAAAATTAAAATAGCAAAATATGTGAGGTCCTGTAGCAGGAAAAGGAAAGTAGGGGACAATTTCTGAATAAAGTGTGGATTTTAGTGAATAACATATTAGTATTGGTTCCTAATTGCAGCACTAGGGAGGCTAAGATAGAATACTTGTGTTCAAAGCCAGCCTGAGGCAGGAGGACTGCAGCAAGTTCAAGGTCAGCCTGAATTGCAAGACCCTGTCTCAAAAAAGGGGCTCAGGATATACCTCAGTTGTACAGCATGTGCAATCCCAGTGAAGGGAAAAACAAACTTCCTTTTGCTGAGTATCCAAACATGCTTAATCTTTTATCAGGCCATACATAATCTTAGTTTTATTTGGGGTGGATGTTTTCCTATATTCATCGGTCTTTCTTAACATCAGGACTCATGGCTTTTGGAATTTTAGTTTTTAGGTTCACTTTAAAGGTTTTCCTCTTCTCAGTTTTCTCTGCTCACAACAGTTGCCCTTCCAAGTCTCTGTCCCCTCCAGCTGCTACCGATAGCCAAGTCTGTTGGCCTCGGTAGCTTCTGTCCAACAAGAATTTGAGGGTACCAGAGAGCCAGGGTGAGCCCACAGTGGCCGTCACTCACCTGTTGCAAGGTGAGGTCCACACCCACTCCAGCCGCCGGGCAGGACAAGTTGCAGTGCAGTGGCTCGAGGAAGGGGCTGCTCAGGTCTCTCAGGGCAGCAGTGGCGGGATCCCACACTCTGGGCCAGTACACTCCTGGCTGGAGCACAGCAAGCTTCCATTTTCACCTCAGAGACGCTGTAGCCTAGCTGTGCTCCTGCTGGGATGAGTGAGCACACACCACACCCACACGCCTTGCACTTTTGTTCCACTGCTAGCTCACAGAAGAGATCTCAAGAGTTTTGAGTCAGAGGGGCCTTAACTTTCACCACAGTCTGGCCTCCCACCTCCCTTTGGGACAGCGTCTCCTCCATCCCCTGGGTCTCACTGTAAACTGCTCCCTCTCCCCCAGGGACTGTCTTCATTGGACCCCACATACATCAGCTCCCACAAACAGGCCCAGGCCCACAGCTCTTCCACGGGCTCACCCTCTGTGGAACCAAAATCTCTCACAGCCAAACACACACAAAATGATTTTTTTTTTTTTTTTGAGACAGGGTCTCCCTACGTAGTTGAGACTGACCTGGAACTCACTATGTAGCTGGTCTCGAACTCAGCAACCCTCCTGCCTCAGCCTCCCCAGTGCTGGGATTACAGGTGTGCGCCACCACACCCGGTAAAATGATTTTTATTTTGAGACAAGGGTCTCATGTTGCCCAGACTGGCTACAAACTCCTGCGTTCAAGCAATCCTCTTGCCACACCCTCCCAAGTAGCTGGGACTATGGGCACATCCTACCATAGCCAGCTAACATTGTAAGAGCTCTAAGAACTTAGAAAATTACCCGAGTCCCCTCTCCAGGAAATATGGTTCATTTCTTAGAGTTCTTTTCTAGTCATAACATAAAATTTAGACTTTTTGAAGTAAAATGGAATCTGGCTGGGCGTGGTAGCACATGCCTGTAATCCCAGCACTTGGGAGGCTGAGGCATGAGGATCTATCACTTGAGTTCAAGTGCACTCTAGGTTATGTATGCAAGGCCCCAAGTTTGATCCCTGGTACCAGAAAAACAAAAAAGGATACTAAGGAGTACATCTCTAACCAAATCTTTTTGGGCCAGGGATTTAGCTCAGTGGTGCCACCTGCCTCACAAACCAAGGTACTGAGTTCAATCCCCAGTACCAAAATTTAAAAAATTGCTACTATAGTTAAAAACTCTTACTGTGGTTGATTGGCAATGTATTATGATTTTAAATGTTTCCCCCTCTTTGACCTAACTGTACCACTTCGAGGACAACAACAGAGACATTCACTGTGGTGCTGTGGGTGATTAACAAAAGCCAGAAATACCCCACCCCAAGCTTACTGCTGGGGAAACCACCAACTGCCTGCTGGGAGAACTCCATGCTGGCGGGACAGCAGACGTGTGTGCTCACTGTGTCAGCGCAGCCTCGCAGGCTGCACAGTAGTGTGAAGACAACACACACTTAGTTTGTTGCTGCAGCCCATTGACTACACCCCCGAAGTTTTGTCCCTGCTAGGCAGGTGCTCTACCACTGAGCTACATCCACCGCTCTTTAATCATTTAAGCGGGTCTAAGTTGTCAGCCTGGCCTTGAACTTGCCACCCCAGCTCTTAGGTTTACAGGTGTGTACCACCTTGCCCGGCTGACAAGTCACACTTCTCGAACACAGAGGGGAATATGACAGAATGTCCTGCAAGCTGGTAGCAATGGTAACCCCAGAGTGGGGTCAACAAGCACTTTCAGGTTATATATCCACAGTATTTTTAATGAGCATAAATTAGTCTAATAAGCAGAAAAATACAAATAAGTCATGATTAGTAAAGTGTTTCTCATAATTACTATCAAAATTTCTTATAATGAATGATGCATGTAGCTAAACTCCAGTCCCTAATTGTACAGTGTATGAACTGCATAAGAAAGTCCACCACTGCAGGTTAAGAGCCTACCCTGAGCCTCCACAGGCGGTCATGTCCTCTCCAGACTGCTGCTTGGCTCTGCCGCAGGAAGTGGGCCAGGTGCGGCTTCACAGTCTCCGGAGTCTTCCAGGTGCCACCTGATGGAGCATTGAGGAGAAGGCAGGCCCTGAACCTCAAGGACTCGCTCACCCTGGCCTGGTCAATCTCTCCGGAGGCTGGGGTTTCCCCCCCAGATTGGTGGTTTACAACAGTAGCAGAGCAGCTTGCGAGAGAGCAAGAGGGAGATTGTCTGCTCCACAGACCCAGGGTAAAGGGGGCAGTGCGGACATCTCTAGTGTCAGGAGAATAATCACCAGGGCAGGAAACTGATCCCCACAGGCTAGTGATGAGGGTGAGTTAGGGAGTCTGCGGCCAACTCTTCAGGCATCTAGACCCAGCCGCACCTTGTCTGCCAGCCTCCGGAAAAGCGTGGCACCTGTCACTTTGGGGGAGGAGGCTGGTCTTAGCACCCTAGCCACAGAGCAGCCAGGGGTCTTGGATCCAATCATACCAACAGCAAGTAGATTATTAGAGGGACAGGGCACACAGTGGTTTTAAAAGCTGCAGAAGTTTTCAAATGTAATTTCCTTCTTTTGTACTGTATTTTCACAAATTTTGGTCAAGTCCAAACATAATTCAATGAGGTAGGTAGTTTCTTCCTTGTGCCTTGTTTGTGGTAACCGTCGAGGCTGGGGCAACAGCACAGAA